GAAGAGGAGCTGGAGTTGGCCCGAGTGCTCGGGTGGACCGTTGAGTTCCTTCAGGCATACTTCCTGGTGGTCGACGATATGATGGATCAGTCCATCACACGACGTGGTCAGCCCTGTTGGTACAAATTGGTATGTCTTGCCATTTGAAATTTTATATTCAATGTTCAGTGAATTGAGGGATGATTAGAGAAATGAATGAAAATCATTGTATCTTAATGTCCGTTAATTACATATGTTTTTTGGACTCAATTCGTATTACATTCTCAGATATGGATCCATAAATAATTGGAGGGCTCTATACTATACTAACTATACTATACTAACTCTATACTAAGTTAGTATAATAGTAACTGTTATTGTTTGTCAATTGCTTTAGTTTGTAATAATAAGTTAAATACCGGTGTAATACTTGATAGTTAATTTTTTTGCACATACAGGATATATATGATATTAATTACCAGTAAGTAAGTTTTAATTAAGTCTTGATTTAATTTGATAAATTTATAGTTGCATATGTAGCATAACTTATGAAGCCATAATGGAAATGTAAATGATATTAATTAAAAAATACTTTTTAAATTATAATTTAACTATATTAGATAAAAATCATTTACTCTGTGTTTATATATTTATACATATTTATCTATAATATACTAAAATATACTAAAATTCATGAAAAAACTAATTGATAATGAAATACAGGAAAATGTTGGTCTCATGTCATGCAATGACGCCATTCTCTTGGATCAGGAGAACTATCACATCCTTCAGCTATTCTTCTCCGATAAGAAATATTACCAAAAAATAGTGGATCTCATGCACGAGGTTTGGCAGTACTTCTCAAACATACAACTTATTAATTGTAACAAATTGACAGACTTCTCGCTACACATCTTACGGTCAGTGTATGGACACAGCCTCCCATCCCCCCAACCAAAAGCCACAGTTCCACCTGTTCTCGCAGTTACGATACGACAGTATAGTTAAATACAAGACGGCCTACTACTCATTCGTCTTACCCGTTAGGCTCGGTATGACATTTTGCCTCATATTTATTAATAGCACACAAAATACTTAATAAGTTTACAAAATGAAAACCTTGTGTTTTAAAACTAACTATGGGGTGTCACTCGCTGTACAACTCTTATTAAATTAAAACCTACATGATTATATAGCTTAACCATGCTAAATTAAGAATATCGGGGTCCGATAATCTATGTGAAGGTGGTCTGGTCATAATCCAGTGGTCAAGTTTGCGAGATTCGTATAACGCTCTATACAAACTCAATTGACATTTGATGTGAATTCATGCATTATTTCTAAGACTCACTTTTATAGTATGAGTAATGTAAAAAAGTGAATAATGCATATAAAAACTTTGAAAATTGTGCGATTATCAGAAACTTGACCACTGGATTATGACCAGACCACCTTCCCATAGATTATCGGACCCCGATATTCTTAATTTAGCATGGTTAAGCTATATAATCATGTAGGTTTTAATTTAATAAGAGTTGTACAGCGAGTGACACCCCATAGT